GAGAAGTTCACAAGGATGACACTATCCTCATGCGATCTCACCGATTGTAAGCTGGGACTACATATTAAACGAAGTGTTTACACCCGAGCAGCAATGTTTCAAAAACAACAACCCATTATATCATTGTAATGTGTTTTTAAAATGTTTAAAATTCAATATCAAGAGTTTTCGATTTGAATAGTTTAAACTTAATTATTAAAAACTTAAGAACGAGTTGTTGTCTTCTACCGATGGCAAAAACACCATCACAAATAGTGGAAGAAATACTATAAGGATATAGCAAGACTTCTAATTGAAGACAATAAAAATTAAAGACTAAGAAATCGAGCCCGAAATTTGCAGAACCTGTTTACCACTACTGAAAATAACGTACATCAGCTGATGTAATCGACTCTTTCTCTATCACAGGATACACTATATAATTTTTAGTTAAGCCTGCGAGTTTTGACTTTTGTACCACCATGAAAAAGAGTATTTCTTTTCAAAAAATTTCCAGAGTTTACCTGTTTCAGATAAGTAATGAATATTAAAATATTGTTTTTAGTTGCTGTCTTGTATCTAAGAATACGCAGGTTAGTCCGGTAAATAGCACTCTCACTTTCTGTTCCAAATGTCTCGGATTCTAATCTCCAGTATCTTGTTATTCTCGTTCAAACACGCGAGAAATAAACTTTAAGGTTCTTTGTTATTTTATCTTCCTTTTTGGATCCACAGACATTTGAAAAAGTAGCATCACATCTCGCACCTTGGACCCTTCGATCCGAGACGCTACTACTTGGCTAAACTCGCTTTCTTAAGATGTTACTAATACATTTCTACGTTTAAATCTACTTCAAGAACAAATAATTAAGTACTTGTGTGTTCAGAGAAACTGAAAGCTACGACTATGTAAAAAATAATAATAACCACTTTTCAAATCACCAAGCCTACAAATAGTAATTGTAGTACAATATCAAGATATATTTCGACAGTATAGTACATTATTCTATCAGCTTTTATCCTACATTCAAACAAAACATTCATTTATTATAGAAATTAGTTAAATGAGAGTTAGGGAAACCAATACGTGAATGATACTTGTTGGAATGCTCCTAGCCTAGCTTTTTAAAACTTACGAGTTGTATTCTGAATACAGTAAGGTTTTGTCGTAGTTTCATTGCCAATTAAAGTTTCAAATCTATAACATCAACTTTCCTTTCATATTATTCAAAATACTTTAGAATTAGATTTTTTCTTTCACGCACCTTTCTTTCTTTTATAGTTTTAAAATATTTGTAGACTTTCTCCTTAGAGTTGTTTGGTCTAGTAGTTTAGTGGTAATTATGTATTTAAAGTTCTGACTCTTCTAAAAACTATACTTTATAGAAAATCGTAATCCAAGAATATTCTCATTTATAGAAGTTTCATTTTGTTCTTGTATCAAACTCAAGGTATTTTATTTTTGAAACGCATAGAATTAGTTATTCAATGAAAATAGCTCCCTCTATCACGTATTGGATATCAAGAACGCACAAAATGAATCGAAATGTAGGATGATCTTTCATTCAAAATCATCCGATTATTAGGCTTGAGTTTGATTCAAGCTTTAGCATCCTATTTTTTTAATATCGTAACGATTTACTTAGACTTTACTCAACTTCTGAATAACTTTTTTCCTATTATTATTTTGGTTTTTAAAGGCATCAAGCCTGGTTCTTTTACTAATTATTACGTTAAGTCTCTTTGGTTCGGCCACATACTTAAAGTAACGTAGGTTCTCGTTTCTGAACGTTACTTGCAACTTATCCTAACCAACTACAAAGTTTGAACAACTAAGTGTTTATTAAAATTTCACATTTAAATGGTCGCAGTGTCAATATAAACGTCAAATTAACCGTGTCAGTGCTGTTAAAAAATGCAACATCCAGCTGGTTACTAAATTCGATTATTTATGAAATTATTAAAAATACACATTACTTTTTAACTAATCTTAATTCACGTACATTTCTATAGAATATTGATAGGTGTAGGTAAGAGGAACTCAGATTTCTTTTTTTACATCTAATTCTGTAAAATAAACTGAAATTTACTAGTACACATATTAAGTCTGGACTTTATGAAAAGAAAAAAATTAGCAAGATTCTGAACAAAATATTGTGCATCAAAACATTTGTCCTAGATCTTCTCTTCTTGTTTCACACAAGGATGGTTATTTTTCCTAGCCTCTGGAACAACAACAACCTTGTTCTGCTTAACCAGCCAACTGGAAAACAAGTTTATGGGGGTTTTGAGTCCTTTTTTTACTCGCTATATAGTAAGAATGTTATTTTATTTTTATACGAGGTCTAAATGTATTGCTTTGATTAACTGACCCAAGCTGTGCTGATTAGCCTTGAATAGGCGAAAATGCAGTTCACAAAAATAATATGGCGAATCAGAGAATGAATTAGGCGTCTACGTCACAGATTATATTTTCAATTTCACTTTTGGTGAAAATAAAAGAATATAATTATTAAACCCTTCCTTACTAACAGAATATAATGGACATTTGGTTTTTGGCTGCGTGATATCAGGCCATGTTTGTATCATAGACTATATCACCTACAGATCTTAGTTGATATTAGATACAAAAACTTCAAAGTATTCTATACATTCATTGGTAATAGAAAATACATTACAAATTACATGTAAAAATGGCCTTAGATGCGTAGCCTTTAGATTTCTTGCTAATCTACAACATCTATGCCATTATATTAGTCAGTCATACTTTGAGAATCCACACATGAGTGTAAGACTACCTGCCCAATTGACAATTTGAGTAATAGAGCTGTTTGTACTAAGGTCAATCTGATTATTTCTGATATTTTGGACTAATTATAAAAAGTGTAGTCTTTAAAGGGAAGAAAAGAAAATTCCAGAAAATTATAGCAGGAGTGAAAAATTATGTAATACATCTAATGTTTAGCTGCCTGAACAAAGGATAAAAAGGAGGTTATATCAATTTAGTCTGCTCTTAGATTTTGAAGCTAAATGTCCCTTGGAACCACAGGCCAATCCAAAAAGGTAATTTTGTTTCTAATAGTTTGGATCGCAGTCAGAATGAACTTGATACGGACATCTCTGTCATCCCAAATGTCAATTACTTTTTGGGGGGGTCGGCCTTTAGTTTAAAAACCCGAAACCTACTATACTGTAGGTCGACTTAACAGGACAATCAACGTATTCCCATCATACAGAACCTCACAAAGCAGAGTTTAGCACTTTGTGCTGTGAATAGGATTCGATTTCTTGGAAGATAAAGAGAGAACATATTTGACGAAGGTGTACTTACCACTAGCCAGAACAAAACAACACTGTCAAACAGACAGGTTGATACCCTAACCAGGACGTGGTCGACCACTGGTTTACGTGCAGTTTCATCCAAGTAAAGAAGCGAACCAGTAATGACAGAGACAGCCAGTGAGATAGTGTCTTCATTGATATACTAATACATGGAACCGAGATTGAACTCCACATCCAGTCAAATACCAGTGCTGCAGCTAACAGTAAAGAATGTGTTTGTTACTGTTGGTTTCATTAATTTGCTCTTACCAGTGAGCCAAACCTAAAAAGCTGCTCACTACCTTACAAGTGGGGTGGCAAGTTGAAGCAGATAATCCCACTGTTCTTTATATGTACAGTGTAGGACCTAATTTAGTCCATAAGAAAACTTCAACTAGTGGTTGCACAAGACGCTTGATTCGCTGAATAGGCAACAATGTTTCCTGCTAATAATGAAATCCAGGTTTGTTTCATTGATTCCATCATGGCAAAACTAAGAAACATTATGATCCAATAGTAAATTAAGCCACTCATGAGTCTAAGTTCAAGGCTCACCAGTTCAGACCCAACAAAATATTTGGCTATTAATACAGATAAGTTAAGTCACTTACATAAGAAGGCATACCCTAGTATGGCTGCAGTGGACTTCAAGGACATTCTTGTGAACTACTTTAAAAAGAATTATCCAGGTGAGAGCATAAGGCATTACACGGTGTCATGAATATTGTAATGTCAAAAGGTTCAAGATGGTCACCAGAACTATTACTGTACTGGCTTGCTGCAAACAACTTTGACCATAACATTCATAGCAGTGAGGGTTCAAAATAGAACAAAAGTGTTACCATGCAAAAGTGGCCAACTTTACCAGGCTGGGATCAACTTAGTAGACAGAGATACATAAAGCACATTATTCCTATTAGAAAATGCTATTGTTTTAAGAGCATTGGACCAGTGCTTCAACCAAGAAACACTTGATTCTCTGCTTAGACTGTGAACTTGCTTAACACTGAAAGGTAAACAGCATTAACATTTCTCATAAAGTAAGAGTATTCAGGAGAAAGAAGGACATAAACAGGTGATGAAAGCTACAACTTCTGCAAGGATAAACTAGCATCTCCCAGCTTGGGTTCGCCAACAACATAGGCAGGCACAGTAATCAGTCTTCTCATAATTGTGGTGGTCAGCTTGACATTACTTGTCACCTGGTAGTGCATGAGCATAGGTGCAAGGTGGAGCTCCTAGTATATACAAGGGCTCTGCTTCATTTCAAGGAGACCACTCTAGCCACTAAATACTGAATTCGTTCTTGTCAGTGGATAATCGTGTGAGCAGAGAGGATAAACTATATTACTTTTTATTAGTGCTTTCTCTAAAAGCAAAACCTTTCATTTCCAATCTTTGCTTGAACGTTAACATTTTAGGAATAGGTTTGCTGTAAAGTTATATGCTAAAATAGTTATATAGGTCAGGTGAATGAACATCTAAAACCTTTACATTTCATTCTTATTTTTGAAAACTGTATGAAGAACTTGTCTAGATAAAGCACCAAACAATACTCCATTTACCTTTCTTGTCATTCTACAATACGTACATGGTCATTGTTCTGGCCTCAGAGGTCAGCAAATTACAATGTTGCCAATTCTTCCTGAGATCAGCATAGGTGTTATATTTATCGTGAGTGTATAGTAAATTAGAATTACCTCAATAAAAATGGTGCAGCGTTGTGGCAACTAGCTTATGAGAATTAGTCCACGAGTATGAACTGAGTAGCTTTTATTTTAGCTGCCCTCCAGGAAATTTAGGATGATGTCCAATCTGGTTGCTAGGAATCTGTGAATAAGAAAAGTACTATTTGATATTGGTGAATGGATCTGCCAGTCATGAAGTACATTATGCTTCTTAGAATATAAAGATTTTAACACCAAGGACAAGTTACTTTTATGCTGTGCTGAGACGTGAGCTCCTCTAACAGGTTAAGATGATGTGCTGATCCAATTTTTTCTACTGCTTAATCTCTTCTATTTAACTTACTAAAACTCCAAATGAGATGTCCTGTGCCCATGCATATGAATAAGTTGCAAATAGTATCAATATCTATCAATGTTGCTGGCATTAGAGTAACCACTGGTTGAAGCACTGGTCCAATGCTCTTAGAAATATAGCATTGTTCTAATAGGAATAATATGCTCTATGTATCTCTGTCTACTTTGTTGATCCCAGCCTGGTAAAGTTGGCCACCTTTGCATGGTAACACTCTTGTTCTATTTTGAGCCCTTACAGCTAAGAGTGAAAAAATAACATTGTCTTATTTGAGATATGGCTTAGTAGTTTAGTCAATGCTGCAAGGTCTAGGTATACCTTTGGAAGAACCACTATTTAAGAAAACCTAGAAGGCAGTTTTTAACTTTACAGTCTGAAAAACACTTCCAGTCTAGTAGAAAGAACAGGAAGAAAACACACCACAAAGTTACCAATATCACTGAAAACTAAATTCGCAAGAGAAGTGGACTGCCCCCTGTCACCTGCTAGCGTCATCACTTCTAAGGCCAGGCTGCCGAAAGGAAAGAAAGTCTGGACATCTCTACTATTAGAAGATTAATGCCAGAAGAAATGGGGACAAGAGAGGCAATCAAGAGAAGACCTGTATGAAAGAAGAATTGGTCCAGATTTGGAAAAATCTCCAGAAGGCAAACATCACAAGAGGAATTCTGATCCACTACAGCTCTGGAGGACCTGTTATTTAACATCAAATGACAGCAGGTGTTGACATACATATTTATAAGTACATGATGCAAAAATATCAAAAATAAAGTTGTGTATTTTCATGTATGTACTTTGATATAAAAGTTCGTTATTTCCCCAATTTGGGTTCATCTTTAATGAACTAGATAATTAGTTCATGACTATTAAGGATATGTCTATTTTAAAAGTTTAGTATTAAGGATTTGAGTGAAGAAATTGTTTAACAATTTCCTAATACTTTACAGCATGGTGCAAACGTCGTACAAGCCTATGATATTTCAAAATTCTGTTCGTATTATTTTATAACTTATGTTTTTGTTTCATTATCTCTTGTTGCGATACTTGATTAGGATATAATTAACCTTGCAATGGTTGGGAAACAATTGACCTTACAAGCGTGTTGAAATAATCTTGTCTTGATGAGATTCTATGCACTCATTATCATGGGGGTGGGAAGACAAATATTGTACTTGTCACATGTCCAAATAACATAGAAGATTTGAAGAAAAGAACCACACGAACCTGGACAACTTTATCACCACAGATACTACAAAACGTGAGCTACATTTTGAGTGAAAAAATAACATATTTGAACAGCTGTAATAAGAGAAGTTAGAAAATCCCAGAGATTAGTGTATTTTGCATCATTCCACATTTAGGGCACTGTTAAATTACATTTCAGAGAATATGGTACTTTAAAGATTAGAAGTAAAAAAAAACATTTTCAAAATAGGAAGTAAATGTACGGGCGGATATTAAAAATCCTGTAAAAACAATGTAAACAAGATAGTAAGAATGGGATTTGCATCATCCCTACATAATAGCACAAGCACACAGTGTAGTACAATGTTAATAAAAATCCTGTAAAAACAATGTAAACAAGATAGTAAGAATGGGATTTGCATCATCCCTACATAATAGCACAAGCACACAGTCAAGTACAATGTTAATAAAAATCCTGTAAAAACAATGTAAACAAGATAGTAAGAATGGGATTTGCATCATCCCTACATAATAGCACAAGCACACAGTGTAGTACAATGTTAATAAAAATCCTGTAAAAACAATGTAAACAAGATAGTACGAATGGGATTTGCATCATCCCTACATAATAGCACAAGCACACAGTGTAGTACAATGTTAATAATACACAAAAATAGGATAACTTAAACTTAGTTGTGATTGAATAGTTATCTATATATTGCTATATGTTAATTCTTGCTTGTGCTATTATGTAGAGATGATGCAAATGCCATCCCTACTATCTTGTTTACGTTGTTTTTGAAGGATTCATATGAGCCATCCCTTCATTTACTTCCTTATTTTGAAAAGTTTTTTTCTTTACTTGTTTGCTTGTTTTTTAATGCAGTGTTTCAATACACATAGGAAGGTTGTATTTATAACCAAGTTCTAAATACAATGAGGTTCCAACTCTAATATTTATTGTTTATCTATTAGTGGGTGGTAATTTCTGTTTTACCCTGTACTTAAGTTTTTGAAGGAACATCAAATTTCTGTCAGAAAGCTAACTTCAAGGGGTAATGATAACGTCGTTTATACTATAATTGTGATTTTTTGAAATTACTACTAGTTATTAATAATACTTATAAGAGTGGATACTCCGTTTGAAACTGTCACCTCAGTGAAATTGGTTGACACATTTGTTTAGGTTTTTGAGCTATCGTGTAATAAAAATGAAGCAAAAGAAAGAAGAACAAGAAATTCAAATTTTTTGCTATGATACTTACAGACATTCCTAGAACTTGTGACTCAGTCATTATATACAAATATTATTATAAAAGGACACACTGTACAGTACTGTAAAGTTCTG